AAGAAAGAAAGAAAGAAAGAAAGAAAGAGAGAGAAAGAAAAGAAGAAAGAAAGGAGAGAGAGAGAGAGAGAGAAAGAAAAGAGGAAAGAAAGAAAGAAAGAGAGGAAGAGAGAAAGAGAGAGAGAGAGAGAAAGGAGAAAGAAAGAAAGAAAGAAAGAAAGAAAGAAAGAAAGAAAGAAAGAAAGAAAGAAAGAAAGAAAGAGTGAGTCAGGGGCGGACTTTGCATCAGTCCCAGGCCTTGGGGCTAAGGGGTCGGCAGATCGGGACTCCGAACAGGCAGAAAGGGGTGGGAGTGTCTTGAAACAGGCTGAAAGGAATAGAAAGGGAGACCGATCCCCGCCTGGCCTGCCTTCTGAAGTGAGAAGTACTGAGGCCCGAGGAGGCTCGACGCGCGCGCAGGGGGCCACTAGACGACACTGCCCGGCCTGCCGGTGCGACCGGTGCGGAAAGGGAAGCCCTAGGGCAGGTGGAGGCCAGCGGGGATTTCACCAGCCAAGTGGTCTTCTTCATCTGCGACGGGTAAGACAGGCGACCCCGCACACCCACCACTTTCCGGTCCTGCGACCCGAGCGGCGTTACCCCGGGGACTCCCCTCCTGCGGCCCCGCCAGCCCAAAGTTCGCAGACCCGGTTCCGGACGCGGGGCTCGCCAGCAGGCCAGCGTCGCCGGCAGCAGCCACGCCCCACTCCTGGCATGTTGACGTCTGAGGGGTGCCGTTTCCGCCCTCATCCTAGGAGGGCGTGAAGGGGGCGGAGCCGGGTGGAAAGCGCGCTGCTTGTACGTCACTTCCGGTGAGCCTAGTGGCGACAACGGCAACATGGCCCTGAACGGCGCTGGTGAGGACTTGGGCTGCGGGGGCCTGTGGTTGCGGGATATAGGAGGCAACCCGCTCGGGCAAGACCTCTCTGTCTCTTGTGACTCTCTTCCGCCAGAAGTCGACGATTTCTCCTGGGAGCCCCCAACCGAAGCGGAGACGAAGGTTCTGCAAGCGCGACGGGAGCGACAGGATCGCATCTCCAGACTCATGGGCGACTACCTGCTGCGTGGTTACCGCATGCTGGGCGAGACGTGCGCGGACTGCGGGGTGAGGAGACTCGGGACGTGGGATCGGGGATGGGGCCGCGGACCAGGCCTCAACGGCCCTTCCTCAACTCTCCCCCCTGGATTCCATGGCCTTGCGTCTCACCCCTGCCCCCGTACTCTCTGCTTCTAGACGATCCTCCTCCAAGACAAACAGCGGAAAATCTACTGCGTGGCTTGTCAGGAGCTCGACTCAGACGTGGATAAAGATAATCCGGGTGAGGGGGTCGAGTGTGCTTGGTGGAGAAGATGCGTGCTAATAGAAGCCCCGGAACAGTAGGTTTGGGAGGTGACAGTGGAGTCTGCGGGTGGGGCGGAGGTAAGGTGCTTTCTCCTTTCGGCTCTAGAAAGGACCATTCGTTCAGTGAGAGCACTAAACACCTACTTTGTGCCAGACACTGTGAAGAGTCTGAGCTCCATCGGGCACGGTCCTGATGGGAGAGATGAATCAAGGGCACAAATAACTTCGACACAAAGAAGAAAATGGATGTGTTACCTAATAGAGGGGTTAGGAAAAACATCTCAAGCGTAGAAAGAGCAGAGCAGTAAAGAGTAAGGAGGTGGCTCAGGGCCGAGAGGGGACAGGCGCCCTGACCATTTCACCCACTTTCTCCTTTTTTTAGCTCTGAACGCCCAGGCTGCCCTCTCCCAAGCTCGGGAACACCAGCTTGCCTCTGCCTCGGAGCTCCCCTTGGGCTCCCGGCCAGCCCCTCAGCCCCCAGTACCCCGTCCAGAGCACTGTGAGGGAGCTGCAGCAGGGCTCAAGGCAGCCCAGGGGCCACCCCCTCCTGCTGGGCCTCCAAATGCAGACGTCCTGGCCTGCACACAGGAGGCCCTCCTGCAGAAGCTGACCTGGGCCTCAGCTGAGCTGGGCTCTAGCACCTCCCTGGAGACTAGCATCCAGCTGTGTAGCCTAATCCGAGCTTGTGCTGAGGCTCTGCGCAGCCTGCGGCAGCTTCGACACTAAGAGGCCCCTCCTGAGAAAAACCCTCTAGAAAAACAGCTGTCCTCTCGTGTGGTTTGTTCTTTTCTTGGTTCTGAGTTGCATGCCAGCCCCGGCTCCGTGAGCCTTTTCCCTGCCTTTGGCCTCTTACCCTACTACTACCAGGCTCTTCCTGATGCCCTGAGAGATTCGTTGGGCTTGTCTCTGCTTGGTTTCCCCGCCCAGAATGAGGGAAGAGGGAGAGGACTATGTGATACTTACTTTCTGAGGAGGAGGCCAAAGCCTCTTCAAAAGCCGAAGGAAGAGGGGTGGTCCTCTCCGCACCCCTGCAGCCTCCTCAGCCATCCAGTGCTCATTTCCCATCCTCCAGTGACATTTGGGGGTTCCAGGCCCCTTTGGCATCTTCTCCTTCCCCGGAGTATTCTGGTACCATCATCCTGACCCACCTCATGCCCAGCCCAGGTACTCAGACACTTGACAGGACGTCAGGGACCAAGTATGGACTTATCCAAGTCTCCCGACCGCCCCAGCCCCCTCGTTTTGGATCCTTTCCCTTGGGAGTTATAATTGGGCAGAATGATTAAACACATTGTTGTGGGGGGAGCAAAAAAGAACCACGAAGGAACCGCGTGCGCCGCTTTTGGTCACCCCCACCCCTTTTCTGGCTCCTGTTCAGTGCATGCCCCATTCCGTTTTCTCAGCTTTTCGAGATGTGGTCCCACCACCATAGCCCTTTTAAGGGAGGCCCCGCCCGTGCGAAGGGGGTGGGGCAGGGGCGGAGTCGGAGGAGTCGGGGAAGGAACAAAGCGCGGCCTGCGGGCGGCGGCTGGGCTCGGCCGGCTGGGCCGCGCGGTGCGGGGCCTGCGGGCGGCGGCCCGGGCGCAGCGTTGAAGGGAAGCAGGCCGCAGCGGGGTCCGCGTCGGCCGGGCCATGAATGGGCTGCCCTCGGCCGAGGCGCCGGGTGGCGCTGGCTGCGCCCTAGCCGGGCTCCCTCCGCTGCCGCGCGGCCTCAGCGGTCTCCTCAACGCAAGCGGGGGCTCGTGGCGGGAGCTGGAGCGCGTCTACAGCCAGCGCAGCCGCATCCACGACGAGCTGAGCCGCGCCGCCCGCGTCCCAGATGGGCCCCGCTACGCTTCGGGCGCCACCAGCGCGGGACCCGCCGCCGGTCCCCCCGGTCCGCGTCGTCCTGTCAATCTCGACTCCGCACTAGCAGCGCTGCGCAAGGAGATGGTGAGTAGCTGGGCCCCGGACTTACTGGGCGGGGGTCTGCCACTGAGCGTGAGGGGCCGGGGCGGGGCGGAGGGCAGAGGCACGGAACGGGGAACGCATAGCTTGCGTCTCAAACTAGTTGGGTCAGAGGGGATATGGTAACAATAATTATAGTTACTGTTTATGGCACTAGTTACCATGTATTTTTAAGAGCTTTACTCGTGTTATTTCATTCCATCCTGCTAGATAAATGTTATCCCCATTTTACAGATGAGGGTCAGTGACTTGCCTAGATTCATAGCTTGCAGGTGGCATCTGATGTCCACAAAACTTTGTGCTTAGAAAGGTGCAGGAAGATTGGCTAGGGCCGAGGGTGGCCTGGACCCCAACCCCAGCCCACCCTCAGTCTTTTGCAGGTGGGGCTGCGGCAGCTGGACATGTCCCTGCTGTGCCAGCTGTGGGGCTTGTACGAGTCAATCCAAGACTATAAACACCTGTGCCAAGACTTGAGCCTGTGCCAGGACCTGTCATCCTCCCTGCATTCAGACAGCTCCTATCCACCCGATGCTGGCCTATCTGATGATGATGAACCTCCTGATGCCAGCCTGCCCCCGGACCCGCCACCCCTCACTGTGCCCCAGACACACAATGCCCGTGACCAGTGGCTGCAGGACGCCTTCCACATCAGCCTCTGAAGAGCTGGGGGTGGGGGGAATATGCACCCATGCAAAAGGCTCAGAAACTCACCCGTAGCAAGTACTCAGACTTCTAGTGCCTGCTTTCCCCCATACCACCTCACTTGATAGGAAGGCAAGGCTTGGGCCCCTCAGAGGCAAAATTGCCAACCCTCTCTCTCCTGACTCTGGTTAGCTGGCACTGGGGCAGGCACCTGGCCTACAGCCTTTGCCCGTGGCACTGGACCTCCACACTTCTGCCACACGTGTGCACCCCAGCTTGGCCAACCTTCAGTCTGGTGGTGGGGCCCAAAGCATCTGGCACTCCCCTTAGCGTCTCTGGGATTGGGATGAGTGCCTGGTTCCCATCGCCTTTTCACCTTTTGCTGCTGCTGGCAGCTGCTGGCTCAGGGGCATCCCACCTCTGGTCCCTGGGTTCCACTGCTCTAGACCAGGGCATCCCCATTCCTACACCCACCCACGGCCAGGAGGGCCGAGGCTCCATGCTGGATATTTAAGTTTAGGGGCCAGACTCCTGGGCACGGAGGTAAATAAATACTCTCTCAGCGTTCTTGTGTTCTGACTGCCTGGCTCTGCGGCTGGAAGATAGCGGTGTTTCTGGCAAGTGCGGCCCCGCGCTTCGCCGGCAGATGGCGCCCAAGACCCCCGAGTGGAAGAAGGGCTGGCCGGTGATGGAATGCGAAACCTCCTTCCACCGACGGGGTTGGGGAGCTGGCCAAGCTGGTCCCGCGGTTCTGCGACGGCTGGCGAGGAACTTCCCCTCTCTGGCCGGACATCTAGGAGTCCAGCCCCTCTCCCCCCCGCCTCGCTTTGGTCCTTCCTGGCCGGCTGGGAAGGAAGGAGAAGGAGCCGCCTATCTTGAGAGAAACTTTCCACCCCGAGTGGGGGCGGAGTTGGGGCGGCACAGGAAATGGGTGGGCCTGAGCCAGCGGGCCTAGGGGCCCCTCGGCAGGAGAGGGGAAGACGCCTCCAGGAAGGGCCTGGGAGTTAGTGAGTGCTCTTTGGGTGGAAGGAAACAGCTGCAGAAGCCGAATGGGGTGAAGTTGCGTTGGCCCAGGCCTCCGTAGAGGCCACACAAGCC